GGTCAGCAGTTGTCCTCCCAGTCTGAGCTTAGTCCTTTTTCATTTTACGGGTTGTCAGAACCTTTGACACTAACTGAAAGTCTTTTTCCATGGGCTTCCTAAACTCCTCCCAGTCCAGGTTTTTACTTTAACAACCTCAGAAGCTGCAGTGGTTCTATCCTCCTGATTCGCCATCTGATGCTTCAGGAGTCTAGTTCCAGACCTGGTACAGTGAGTAAAACCCATATATATCTAGTTGATACTGCTGCAGCTCCAGCTCCTTCCCCACCAGCAGTTAGGTTCCATGTCCCTAGAACCAGGTTATGGCCCCAGCAGGCTTCATGCTGCCTGTTATCCTCCTAGGTCTGGCTCCAGGAAGTGGATCTGTTTTCCTCATTTCAGGTGAAGAACTGCAACTCAGACAAGGTCTGGCAACCTTGTATCTTTCCTCTTTGCAGATGATGTGGTTGTGCTGGTTTTAACTGTGACTTCCACAGAGTGCTGGGACACAGTTTACAGACGAGTGTGCAGCAGTAGGATGAGTCAGCACCTCCCTGTACGAGGTCGTGTATACTCTGCTGGAAAACAGTGGCTTGTTCTCTTCAGGTGGGGCATGACTCACTGCCCCGATTCAAGGGGTTCAAGGATCTCAGGGTCTGGTTCACCAGTGAAGGTCAGCTGGAGGTGAGACGGGCAGATGGATCAGTGAGGGAACTGGACCAGTGGGGTGGAGCTGGCTAGGGATTACTTTGGGATCTTCAGGAGGAGCCTGAAGAAGTTACTGGCAAGAGGGCAAATTGGACTACATCGCTTAGTCTACTGCCACTGCAACCCGTTCTTTAACAAGTGACAGAAAATTAGATGGGTGGATAAAAAAAAAAAAAGTAATAATTGACCCTGAGCCATCACTTATAGGCTTAGACAGCTGGGGGTCCTTTAATGATGGTCTGAGCTCCCCTCCCTTTGTTGTGTTTGTTGTGTCTTGTTGCTTTTCTTCTTTTGTCTCTCCTCTATCCACTCACCCCAACCGGTCGAGGCAGAAGGCCGCCCACCAAGAGCCAGGGTCTGGCGGAGGTTTCTTCCGTTAAAGGGAGTTTTTCCTCCCCCCGTCACTAAGTGCTGCTCAGGGAGGATTTGTTGGTTTTCTCTATTGTACTGTAAAGGTCTAGAGCCGACTGTGTAAAGTGCCCTGAGATGGTTTGTTGTTGTGATTTGGTGTTGTACAAATAGAACTGAATTGAACCCAACTGAGATGGTTTATCCCGGGAAAGTGGGCCTGGTTTGGAGTTGAGACCCACTCAGTGACAGTCCTCTTCTGTGCTGTTTTTCTTCTCAAGTATTACTGAGAAACTATTACTCTTTTGCGTTCTAGGTGGAGCGTGGTGGTCCGGGTCAGACTCGGTTTCCAGACATTTACTGCGAGTTTGAGTCACTACAGGCTCAGGTGAGACAGGCCGCTCAGGAATATATCATCAGCCCGCAGGGCGGAGCCGTGCCGCTCGAGGTCAGGAACATTGAGGTGAGAGGTTCTACTGTCAAGGCCAGAGACATTCTGTTGTCAGTTGTATGTAGCTGTGCAGAGCTAAATGCAACCATCGCTCTACTGTACTGTGTGTTTCAGGTTGCCAGGTCTCTGGGGATCCTGGACGAGGTGAACAGGATGAAGGTGGTTCCTGGAGCAGCTTCTAGCTCAAGTCTGACCAATAAAAATGTCAGATACATGGAGGTAAATGCACTCTGTCATGTCAGGTTCTGGGAACAGGGTGCAGATTGGTTCTGGTTCTAGGTTCAATAAAATCAAATGAAACCTTGTTTGAATAGGACCTTGAATATAAGTTTATGCAATTCTGAATACTTTATAGAAGACTTAAAAAAAAACGACTAATGCACACAACAATTGAATAAATCTATAAAGACAAAGTAGGTAAAGTACAATTCAATAATTAAATAAAAATTAAATCCGGTTCAGTCAGCTCCAGTCTGGATCTAGTTCTAGTTTGGTTTTGGATCAAGCCTGGATCTAGTTCCAGTATGCTTACCTGCACCCTGCTGTCTTTGGAGCATGTTAAGGTGTCTGTCCATGTAAATGTCAGACCTGAATCACCTGGTGGACTTTGATAGAAACCTCGACTCTGTGACAGGTAAACCTGAACCAAGTTCAGTCTGATTTAGTCAGAAAATCTGTCTCCTAGAATTCCAAGATGCTGCCACCATCAAAAAGATTCAAAATGGAGAACAGCGTTCCAGTTCACCAAAATGGCATTGAGGTGCCTAGAACAGGTATCATTACTACATCCCTGCTACATTAGTGCTACACACTATTACATCTGTACTGTACTGCTGTAACCGTTATTCATCAATTCAGATGAACAGATTTCATGCTTCTTTGTCTTTCCACTTTTTTTCCCCCAGGTGGCACTGCAGTGACCCCTGTGAACCCTACTCTGAAGCCCTGCTCGGTCTCCGTCTCCCCTCTGGTGATTCCAAATGGATCCAAACTACTGACCACTACCGCCGACTCCAGCTCCAGGTAATCTGTCCCTATCCTGTGACTGTTCAGGTAGAACAGGTGGTCACAAGGAGATGTGCCATTAAAGGTGCAAACCTGGTCTTCTGTCTCAGGTGCCTGAATTTGTTGCTGTATAGAGTATATGTGTCACACTTGGATGAGCTGTACACAGCTGATCTGAGCAGCTAATGTCTGAAAACATTTCCGTCATTCCCCAGGTCTCCTGGTTCCACCTCTGCAAAGATGCCCTCCACACAGGCTCCGTCCCCTCCCACACCAATGGCAGTGACCTCAGATGAGGGTCACGGGGAGGGGCCTCTGCAGACTGTTGCTGAGTTGGAGCCTCTGTCAACAAGCCAAGAACAGGTCCTGAGCACCACTGACATCACAGCCCAGATGAAGGAGCTTGAGAAAACTCTGGGTTCAAGGTCTGAGACTACCACAGACACAAAGACACCCAAGTCTGGGTCTGTTCAGACACCAGAGTCCACCTCAATCCAGACACCTGAGTCCAACACAGTCCAGACTCTGACCTCCTCTCAGAACCAGCAGAGGGACTTGTCCCAGTCTGACACCAGAGACACATGTGTGGCAAAAGAGCTGCAAGAAGGACAGGAGATCTACATCCAGACCGAGGGGCTGACGGTCCAGCTTTCAGAGCCTGGATCAGATCGGATCGTCATTGTCAATGGGCCAGATGGGACCACTATGCACATCCAGACTCCAGAGGGGGTTCCCCTGGAGGCGGTCCAGGCCCTACTGGGCATTGAAGCATCAGATGGAGCCAAAGCTCCTCAGTAAAGTGAGCAGGACCAGAACCTGACCTAAACTCCATCGCAGCAACAGGAAGAGTCTGGATTTTTAAGGTGGAATTTATAATTTGGAATGAGCGGCCAGGTACCGTAGACGGACCCTACCTGCAGCTGCAAGTTGTACACATCCACACAGATGAACACCAAAGAGCCGACTAACACCTGAACCCATAAAACACCTGGACCTGTAACAGCCTTGAAAGACAGGTCAGCATCACCTGTCTGTCTCTGTCCCACCTGTCCAGTCCCCCAGGACAAACGCAGTGTCAAGGCATGGGTGTAATGAGCACAGCAACCTGCAGAGGGCAGTAGTAGAACGTCAGAGTGCTGGTTTGTGGTTTCAGGTGTTCCTGTTAGCTCTGTTCAAGATATTTCAGATTAACACATGAGCACAGAATGAACTTCTGTCACACCTTGAACCTGTTCTTATCAATCTGTCTGCATAATGTCTCATTCTTTTGTTTCTTCAGACTGAACTTCCTGTTCAAAAACAATTTGAAGACCTTCCACCAAACACCTGATATCTTTCTCGGAAAACATCAAAACTATTCAGAAAGCAGAGTGAGGCCTCCATCTGCAGGCGATTTTCAGGCTTCTCATCAATTCTAACAATTTCCCAACAAATCTATTTTTATTTTATGGTGCTCATATTGAATATTTTTTCCTGAGTAAAACATATCCAGTCATTAGGTTATAATCAACCTGACCAGGTAACAACACGGTTAAATGTGTTGTTACCTGGTCAGTTTCATGTCTGTTTCTGCAGCTATCCAGAAAATCCTGAACTCAAATTCACAGATTAAACATCTAAACATGAGTAACATAGTTTACGATTGAGGTAAGAAAATTTCCTTAGTGTCCTCTTTGGGCTGTCATACTCAGCAGTGCTGAACAGTCTTATGACCTCAGTTCAGCTTATTTGATTGGTTTATTCAGTTCTCACCTGTGCTGTTATTGGCGTCTCGTCAGGTGGTCATCTTCCTGCTGGTTTTTAAAGAATCTGGAGTGACTGCAAATTTGTAAACTTGTATTTTTTGTTTCCATGTTTGGACTTGTTTAACATATAAAGCGATTAGTTGGCTGTTTATATGTAGATAAATATTAAAAACAAAGTTCAAAAAAGTTGCACTATTTTATTACTTTTTATAAAACTTTACAGGGAAACATTTTCCAAACGTAAACTGAATGTTTGTACTCGTGTGGTGGAATGAGGAAAGGACGAACTGAAAACAGTTTGGAGGAAATCAAACTTTGTCATGTTGATCGAGTGTTAAATGCATTGTGTTCCTCCAATAAATAAATGTGACAAAATCAAATCACCAGTCGCTGTTCAATGATTTTGCATAAATGATTAATGAATTACATCAGAAATGTTACCAATGTGTTTGTCTCATCCTCCAGCTCTTCAGGAGATTTCAGCTTTTGTTCAGAGATGTTTCACAGCAGACTGAAAACATCTGCAGGTCAGTTAGTAAAAAGGTCACAGATGTTACGAGCAGAGAAAATCCACATTGCAGAGGGGTCCGGTCAAAGCCCAGAACTGGACCCAATAAGTTCAGAATGTTCCCAAAGCTACAGGGAGACCAGGGTCTTCACAAACATTTTGAGACTCTCTGGCCTGTGACGCACCAAGCTGGCAGTCAGCCATCGGCCACTGTTGGGCCATCCACAAGCATCCGTCACCTTCGTCTTCACGGTGTGTCCCACACCACTGGCACTAGTTGGACCCTGTCTGCGGCCTTTCGGCTGATTCAGCATGTTGAGTGGACAGCGACCTTGTCCGTGAGGGAGACCACTCTGATTGGCTGCTTAGCAAATCAATGCAGGAGAAGAGAACTGTTCCGGAAAAGCCCCCTTAGCCTGTCACTGTAGTATCCATGATCTCATCTATTTACTGCCATTTCTCCTTATCAGACACATTCTCAATTATAAGCAACTATAAAGCTACTCTGTTTATTAGCTCCCTCACTCCATTCCCTGAAGCTGTTCCCTCATCAGCGTGCTTGTGAATTGGCATTACCTCCTCCATTTACTTTCAGTCAGGGAGACACTATCCATTTTTCATGTTTGAGGTGTTTTATATCATTTGTTGACTCAACATTTGGGACTAGACTGCCACAGACCCACACAAGTTACCCCTCACCTTGCCCAGAAGTAGAAGCACATGGAAAAATGGGGGCATTGCAATGAATGAGCGTCGCAGCAGTATTGCTTTCTATTATGAGCACATTTCAAATAAGGAATTTAAGTGTGCAAAAGATGCTAAAGTAATGATGGTTACGTACAGTAACCCAAGCTTCTATGAGTATAGGCGTAGCCCTCTTAAGAGCTGTCGCTATTGGGTTTATCCCTCGCGCATGCGCATGCCGTGAAGAGATTCTTTTGCACCCTGTGCTATGCACTGGGCTGTCCCCAAACAGGTCTGCTGCGATGGCATAAATGCCACTGTGACCTGTGATCAGCTCCTTACACCCACACCTTTTCTTCAGCTGGCGGGGGTGGAGACAGCAGGGCTGCCAGCTTAGAGGGCTACGCCTATACTCATAGAAGCTTGGGTTACTGTACGTAACCATCGTTCTATTTCGTTTAGGCTTCGCCCTCTAAGAGCTGTCGCTATTGGGATAAAGTGCAGCTGGATGTAGTCAACACCCTGGTGGCACACCGCTGCCCAAGAGCATTGAAACACACCCCAGCTTGCCAACATACCCCATAATAGCAGCCCCAAAACAACATCGTCTCTGCTGCATCAGGCCTCGCCTGAGAAGCAGGTGCAATCATGCTAGTATAAACACCTGACTGCCGCTGTAAAAGGCAGAATGGCCATTCTGTTAACGGGAGGAAAAGTGCAGGGAAAAGCACACAGATAACAGTTAAATTTCAAGAGCCTACGGGCGCTAACAGCGTACAGAGATAATCAGATGCCCGTATTATGCAGCTGTTGTCTCACAGTAGTAATAGCAACATTACCAACGGAGAACATGAGTATCATGGAGAACGTTCAGGCAGAGTATGTGTGTGAAGGAAGGGCACACACACACACACAGCGGGTACAACAGCGGCTTGCATTGATAGTACAGTCAAGCGACTGTACATGGCTAATAAGCAATCACCCGAGCGAGAAAACACATGGAATCAGTGCTCGGTGGTATGGTTGTTCGAAGAGGGAAGTCACTCGGTCGCGTAGAACACTCAGGACCGAGTGAGCCAGTGGAAAAACTCGGACACGTCCCGAAGGTAGAATAGGGTCAAAAGACACGGCCCATGACGCTGCCGTGCGGATGTCCTCCACGATCATGCCTGAAAAGAGGGCAGTGGAGGATGCAATAGCCCTGGTAGAGTGGGCTCTGATGCCAGGTGGGGGATCACACCCATCTAACATGTAAGCCTGTGTGATAGCCTCACACAGCCAGTGAGACAGCCGTGGTTTGGATAAAGGCTGTCCAAGAGAATGTCTCCTACAATGAACAAAACTGTTGTGTATGACAGCTGCAGTGTGCGCCACTTAATGGCTCTCATGAATTTGCTCATGAAGAGCATGAATTTCTTTCTCTGACTCATCTCTGTTGAGCGGAGGAAAGAACTCATCCGGATAAGGACTCTGGATCAAACAAAGGATGTTATTACTTCCGATGCATAGGCAGGATCCGGTCTCAGAACAGCTGAGCTGCCGTCTTTGTGTATGAGAAGGCACGCCGGTGAGACACAGTGCGCACAGATGGCCCACTCGCTTAGCCGAAGTTAGGGCTAAGAGAAGTGCTGTTTCCAGAGAGATGTTTGAGAGAGATTTCTGTTATGGGCTCAAAGGGGGGTTCCCTGAGCACGTGTAAACCAGAGATAAAGCCCACTGAGGTGCCACTGAACGCGTCACAGGCTTGTCTGCCTATACTCCTGAGAAAGTGTTTCACCAGCGGGTATGCAAAAACACAGTTCGCTTACCAAAAAACTTCATGGTATGAAGAGATGGCAGCGGCATACACTTACCCAGTAGACAGAGCCACGCTTCTTTCTACCAGGATCTGTAGAAAATTCAGCAGTTAAGACAGTGGGCAGGAAGTGGGAGCTGTGCCCCTCTCCATGCACCAACATTGGAAAAACTGACCATTTGCAGCTTAAGGTGCCATAATAGACGGCGCTCTCATGCACTGAATTGCGTGTATGACCGCCGGAGGCAACCTTAGGCTCTCCAGTAACTCCCGTTTTGCGGCCAGGCCCACAGCCGTTGCCCTGACACGGGCCACTGCTGGATCGCGCCGAGCAGATGAGAGAGCGCTTGCGTGCTCCGGAGCTATCAGGAGGATGCGCAGCCATTCCTCTTGAGCGTTCAGTGTCTCCATTTGCTGGGCTGAGGTCTGCCTGGTGATATGAGATCCACAGCGCAGTTCCGCTCACTGGGGATGCCCACGGTTCTGAGGGAGAGCAGGTTCTGATGAGCCCAGAGCAGGAGTTCCCTGCAGTTTCCAGCAGCTGGCAAAACCAACACCGCCCCGATGGCTGATGTGTGCGACGTATTGCAACGTCTGATCGCACCACTATGTGTCTTTGTCTCAGCACCAGTGCAAAGTGTTTCACCTTCAGCGCTGTGGCTAGTTCCAGACAGTTGATGTGGAGACGGGATGTGATCCCACCATCCTCTCACAGCCTGTGACGGACACGTGCCTCCCCAGCCGAGCAGAGACGGGTCTATAAACACCGAGACGTGTGATGTGGCTATACCCAGGGGAACTCCGAGTGTGCTGACAGTGGGAGTTTCCCAGTACTCCAGGTCTGATTGGACCAAGGGGGGAATCGTGAGCACGCGCCTCTTGTGGCACACTGGGTCGAGGTGCAGACGGCCGAACCACCTCTGGAACTTCCTCGTATGAAGAAGACCGAGGGGAACTACGACATGACTGGCTGACATTGCTTACAATAATGCATGACCGATAGAGCTGTTACTCTCGTGTGGGGAACACCACGCTGCAGGAGAGACGAAAACATTTCTCACCTGATGGGTAACAGCCTCGCTTCCATGCTAAGAGTCTAAGTGCACTCCCACATTGACAATTGTCTGGGTGGGCACCGCAGCGCTCTTCATCCAGTTATTACAAAAATCAGTTGTGTCAGGAGTTGCACCAGCACCGCTGTGTGATGTTTGGCACAAGCCATCAGAATCAGGTCGTCTAATAAAAGAGGACTGACTCCTGCTCGGCGTAGGGGTTCTAGCGCCACTTCACTGCACTCAGAATAAAGTTGGGGTGCTAGTGAACAGCTTAAGGACAGCCTGATGAGTCTGAGTGCACTCCCAGGTAAGAATAGTCTGGGAGGGCACCAGTGAGCGCTTGTCCTTCTTTCTTTCCATATGGGTTTATCCAAAAAACCAGCTGTATCAGGCGCTGCGCCAGCACCGCTGTGTGAAAAGCCACTAGAGGTCTGGGGCACATGATCAGAATCAGATCAAATAAGAGAGGGCTCTGAGTCCTGTTCTGTGTAGCAGTACTAACGCCACTTCCACGCACTTGGAAAAACATGTGGGGGGCCAGTGAATAGCCGAAGGGCAGACTGTCATACTGGAAAAATGCACCCCTGGAGGAGGAATGCAGGAACTTCCTGTGTTGGGGATAATAGGTGCATGAATAAAATAGGCATCTCACAGATCGATGGAAGTAAACCAATTGCTGGGACGCACACAGTCCAGTACTTGTTTGTGGTGAGCATGTGAAACTGTCTCTGTACTATGTAGTTGGTGAAGAGAGACAGATCGAGAACGGGTCTCATTGCAAACCAGGAAGTGCCTGGAAAAGATGCAGAGTGTGGCCGGTTCAATCAGCTTGTCCATCTGAATGTTCACGGACAGCCGCTCTCGCCACACCGTGTAACACTCCATCAGTGGACGAGCGTTCATATACGGTGCGCTTGCATGCATTGCCGCTAGCCACTGATGTGCCTTCTCCGCCACTGCCAGACAGGTGTTTCCTCTGCGC